TTTTTTTTTTCGTTGCTTTATTTTCTTTTCCACGATAGGGGGGCTTGAGATCCCAATAATTATGCTTCATAACAAATAAAATTCAATGAAACATTCTTAGAAACCAACACTGGAAATCATCCAAATCAGCTCGCCAAATAAACTAAATTAGCTCAATAGAATTAGCCAAATTAGTATCCCTAAGCATATGGTCGTTGAGACTCCCCCTCAAGCTGGAGAATAGGGTATCGGCAACTCCCATTTTGCTGCAAACAGAATAAGAACATGTTTACGAGCTTTCAAAAACCTAGATAGCTCAGACCAATTGATAGTAATTAAAACTCTTCATTTTTACACTAGTATAAAGCCAAAGAAGAGGAAGACCTTGCTATCTGTTTTGTTACCAACAGGGAATGAAGTAAACCGAGCTGACAAATGAGATAAGATCTGATCATCTGAGCAAGACAATAACCGAGACATAATTGAAGTGGTATGAGATCCGAAATAGAAGATTTAATGAAACATGAGGAATAATAGTGAGAGGAAGAAATTTCATTGTTTTTCTTTTTGGTGGTCAAAGTAGGATAGGAGTAACAAAACAGATAGCCTCCTTGCATTGATTCAAGTGATAAGGTATCATCTTTTTCATTGATTCAACTGAGTAATATGCATACCCTTGTATAGCATCCTTGCATATTAACACCAATGCAAAATTCCCAGAATCATCCAAATCAGCTTAATCAAATGAACAAAATTCGCTCATTCAGTAATCTTGGATTAGGTAAACCAAATCAGCTCAATTTGCTCAATCATTCCAAAATATAAGGTTTTTTTTACAGCTAGGGATGGGCAATGGATACCCATTGGCCCACATTGGTAAGCATTCGGTGGTGCTGGTAGTGGTGGGGTGTTGGTGGTGATGGTGACAATGGTTGGTACCCATTGCCCATCACTAGCCTAGATCAGCAGAAGTTGGTACTCCCATTAGAGCGTATATATTATGCACCTAAGACAATTATTTAGACTTCAACTTTAGGTTAAGGCCAAAACATACAATACAGGATCAAGAACTCTGTACAATGCCAATAGAATGCTAAGGTATGTATGCTTAATTATTTTAAAGATCTTTGAAGACTTCCCTCCTTCCTTACAAACAATTCCTCGCAATCCTACAATTCTGGTCCTCGCCTACAATCATGCTGAGCTCTCATCTCCTAAGAATAGGATTAAGAAAGACAACTTCGAATTAACTGCGCTAGTTGTGTTGTTTCCTTGAATTTATGATGGTGGGTATGGAAATATGGGTATTACAACTTTGGCATTAGCACACAGCGAATGAAAATGTAACTTTTACTCTTACACTTTGTGGATGTGGAAACAAAACAGGAAAAAAAGAAAGAGAGAAAGAAAATGTAACCAAAAAACATATTTCTAAAGTCAGCAACTTGATTCTCTCTTCATAATCAATATCTTTGTGAAGAACTCAGGATTACAAACACCAAAGCAAGAAGAACAGACATGCTAGCTATCATCTTAGTAATCTTCCAGGAAATAGTGAACTCTCCATAGTATTTCATCATGAAATGAAGTTTCATGCAATTACAAATGTAAAGAACACTGAGGAGGGCATAGGTTTTCACTTACCAGAAGGAGAGAAGCGAAGGACATTTACAGCAGAACTATGGTAAGAAAGGCTATTTTGATATGAAGCTGCTGGGAGTTTCTTCTGTGTTTCGCTCGAATTTATTAACCAAAGCTTGAAAAAATTAAATAAAATGAACACAGTTAGTCCAACAACTAATTAAATGACATCAGGAAGTATATCAAATGAACACTTACGAATAAGCTAAATAAAACCTAATAACAAAAAGAAAATTTCCAAAAACCCTTTATCCGAAAAACAAAAAGGAAGGCTCTGATGCTGCATTGAATCAACAATTTGAGCTGAAAGTAGGCGAAATTGCACGGAAATAAAAAAGAAGAAGCTTCAATATTAATTGGCCCACCCATTAGATTCGTGAAAATGCAGAGGAAGAGAGAGAGAGTAGAAGTGAGTACCTTGATGTCGAAATCGGCGCCTCCAGTAGCGAGAGTACCAGAAGTTGGGTGGAAATCTAGGGTTAGTACCGGCTTGGTGTCGTGCCAGTTGATCTGAACTGTGCCTCCTTTCATTTTCTTCCTTGTGTTTTTTTTTTTTTTTTGGGTTTTTTAAATTTTATTTTGTTAATCAAATTTGGGAAGACGGAGGGAATTTAGGGTTACTTACTGGGAAGGAATTGAGAGGTATATGTTGTTCGGCGCACTACGATTTGGCGGGAATCGTTTCGGGAAATTCTGCGTGTACCCAAAAATTTGCTAACTAGCAATTTTTTATTTTTTGGGAACTTTTTATTCAACCAAAAATGAGTGAAGTATTTAGGGTATACTAGTGATTGCTCCCTGATCTTGTACCTAATTTTCAATTGACCCCCTATCTTTTTTTTTTAAGAAAATTAAGAATATGAACTTCTTTTTTTTGCCAATTTCCCCCCTACCGTCTAAATTCTCTACATTTCATCCAATTTTCAGTTAAATCATTTTTAAAAATTACTTTTTGGAAAAAATTGAATAAAAATAGTAAACCTAATGCCAACCCCTTCCATGTCCTCCCTTCCTCCTCCCATTCCCCCACAACCACCATCCTTTACTCTAAGACCAATCCCCCACCCCCCACACCCTTGCTCACAGTCGATCCAAGCCTTTCAAAAACAATCGAAAGGTAAAATTCTTGATCATAAGGCATAAGTGGCTCTACTATAAGTGCCTTACAGCCTCCCATCTCAATCTTTTTCCAAATTCACACAAAACCCATCAACCAAAACATCAAAAAATTCAATCTTAAACACTTGGATTTGCAAAAAATATCAAAATCAAATAAAATCTAATAGTATTTACCTTCATGCTATCGGATAGCATTTGGGGTGGGAGGTCGTGGGGAAGAAGAAAAAACAGAGGGGAGGGTTGGGGTAGGGTGGAGGGACCATTGGAAGTCATATGGAGAGAGGGAGAGTAGAGGGGCGAGAGAAAAAATAGGTGGAGAGGGTGGGGGTGAGGGAGAGAGTGATTGGTTGGATGGGCCCCTCTCTTATTAAAATATTTTTTCTTTCATTTTAGATTTCTTTTTTTTTTTGTGTATTTAATTATTTTAACATATAAAATGACCATTTTGCCCTCATATTTAACGACAAATTGGATGAAATGTTGCAGATTTAGACGGTGCGAGGGGGGGGGGGAATTGGCGAAAAAAAGAAGTTCATATCCTTAATTTTCTATATATAAAAAAAAGATAATGGGTCAATCGAAAGTTAGGTAAAAGTTCAGGGGGCAAATCACTAGTATACCCAAATATTTATAAAGAATGACAAAATTATAGTGTTTGGACACTAATGCCCTTATTCATTTTTATATTGCCTAAGGAGTCTATTTCTTCTTTTTAGATGATGTCGTATGGAGCCAAAAAGGTTGGAAATACCAACAGGAGTTGGTCCAAGTGGAAGGGGCTTGGATCCTTTAAACAAGAGGTCCTGGGTTCGATCCCAGGCGCTTGCGAATAGAGCAGACTTTGTTGGGAGAGGTCACCGCTTTGCGCCCGACAGTACCTCGAGGGTTAGTCCCCGCAATCGCGCGGGGGATACCTTGGTTTTCACCAAAAAAAAAGGTTGGAAATTATACTTCATCTGTTGGGATGATCCTTCACGTGAAAGGATGAGGTCTTCACATGGAGTTATGCTTCCATCATGTTGTCTATATTGTGTAGCTCTTCTTATCCTAAGCTATTCCAGCATGAGTTGTCGTTGTCTTCTGCTTCAATTTGTTCTGCTATCTGATTATAGATTTCATAAAAAACTTTTGCTCCTGTTTTGCTTATCCTGAATTCATATATGTCATCTAGTCTCCTGGATGTAGTTTCTGAATAAATCTTGATAAAGTTGGATTGGTGAAGGAGGTTCAGTCGATCATCATTGAACAATTGTTGCTCCTCTGTATTTTTGAATGTCTTGCTTGGTAGAGATCTTCGTATTTACTGATTTGGCCGGACTAAGCAGTTCATTATGAGAAAAAATAATACTATGTTGTGCTATATCTGGGTAAATACTACCGTAAACCACTATGGGGTTGCTGGTGAAATCTAATTTTACGTTCTTCCAAAGATGGATATAAAACCTTATGACTTCTTTTAATTTTGAGGAAAATGAATCTAAATGATGACTATTTTCAATATAAAGTGGACTTAAATAACTATACTCTGTTAAAAATACTGGAGTAATTGTGATAGTTTTTTGGTTATGCTCTAAATGCAATTCTTTATATTCAACCATGTTAATACTAGCTAAATAAATAGTATAATGAGAATAGATTTTAGTAATAATTTTTATACCAGGATGCATACTTAAATTAATGATTCTAAATTTTTTTACTATTGTATCATACTCCTTCTTTTGCTCTTCATGTTTTTCCTGCAAAAAAGAAAATTGTTGTTTTGCTCTTTTATAGTCATAATTCTATGCTAAAAACTCTTGCTCAAGGGCTCTAATAAGTTTTTTATTCCCTTTTCTCATGCTTTCAGTATTAGTTCTAATGTTCCAAAAGTTGTCTAAAAGAACTCTTTGTTTATCTGCTAATGATGCTTGAGTACGATATTTTAAAGCAGGATTTCTAACTTCTTGTACTGGAATTCCATTATAATAATAAGTATTTACTACTAATCTTGCTTGACTACTCATGCTTAATGGATTACCACCCTGTGATGGTGTACCATTATTTTTGTTGCCAGAGGATGAGGCTCCAAAATATTGCATACCTGTTAATGAATAATACCGGATAAGATGTCTACTAAAGTATTATCCATACCTTTACTATGCTCAAATATTTGTCTAAATTCATTTCATGTAATATAATCAACAAAATTGACCCATCTTCGGGCTTCTTGTTTATTAGTAGTAATTTTATTATAATAAGAAACAATATTCTGACAATCTGTTCTAATAGTAAATATCTCATTATGTAAAAACAATGAAAATGCTTCAAGGGAGTTAATGACTCCTAAAATTTCTAAGTCAGTGGCTAGAAGTTTAGCCTATATATCACTAAATTTACTTTATGCATATCTACAAACCTTTTCTTCAGAGTTATGTTCTTCTTTATGTTTCTTTTGATATAAAATTCATGCCCATCCTATTGATGATGCATCTGTCTCAACTATTTTGTAATTATTATCTAATGGTAATGCTAAAGGTTTAAGTTCAGTTATTGTTTGATATTTTGAACTAATTTAATATCCTCCCTGTTAAAATATTTTTGACATGTTTTACTGGTTTTACTATGCAATGCTGCAATCTTTCTTCCTAAATTAGAGATAAAACTTCTAACATAATTTAATAATCCTAAAAATGCTTGTAATTATTTTTTATCTTCTAATTTATCTGTAAATTCTAACACTTTTTTAGTTATATGTTCTTATAATTGTATAGTTCTTGACTTAATATACATATCTAAAAATTCTATGTCTTGTTTTTCAAGCTCTACTTTATTCCTACTTATAACTATACCATTATCAATAAATTCTTTCAAAATCATTTCTAAGTGTTTTCTATGTTCATTTTTATTTTTACTATGAACAAGCATATACACTACAAAAATTATCATACTTCTTAAAAATTTGATCCATCTTTCTTTGAAAGATCAATGGTGCATTCTTTAATCCAAATGGCATGACAAGCCATTCAAAATGTCTTTCTGGACAAGTAAATGTTGTCCATTGAATTGATTCTTCTACTAATCTAATTTGCCAAAATCCTGATTTACCGTCAAATTTACTAAAATATTTACTTTCTTGAATTTTATCCATAAGTTCATCTTTATTTGGTAATTTATAACTATCTTCATAAGTATTATCATTTAATCTCCTATAATGATACAATATTCTAGCTTTACCTCTCTCTTAAGCTCTGAGTGTTTTCTAACTACAAAGGCTGCTGATCTATGCATAGATTTTGAAGGTCTGCTGTTTTAATTGTTAAGTCTGGATTGATAATGTCTAATTTTGCTAATATCTTATTTTTATTCTAGTTTGTTCAGCTAATTGTAACAATTCTTCTAAGGTCTTTGGTCTATCTATCTACATAATTTCTAAAAGCTCTATTTGTCACGATCCGATTTGAGAATAAGGAATATTCTCGAATCAGGGTGTGAGTTATACCATAGTCATAAAAATAAAATCCTACAACCATGATTTGATGAGAAATAGAGCCACACATAGTTAAATACACACTAAGATCTTTATCAAACGGTTGATTACTTACAAATATAAATCACACAAATCAACAACAAAAACCTAATAGCTTGGTTGAGACCCGCTTCCTCAAACCTTGTTTTGAATCCTGCACAATCTATTAGGATATGAGCATTCTAATGCCCAGTAGAGTACCGTCAAACCCTTCAATGTAAGCTATCACAGTTAATCAAAGTGTCATGCATCAAACAACACAAGATACATAAATTTTGCAACCAAATCAGATAAATAAATTTGCATATGCGGTGATGCCATGAACTAATCCCACTAATTCATACCTTAGGGCAACAAGCCTGCATGTCTCATTCCATATGTTTTACCACTGTGGCTCTGAATACCCTAAAGTATGAACTAGTGCCAATCCATCCCTTAACCCATTTTTCTTTTGTTTACGAATTTCTCAACTTTCACTTTTCATTAAAGGCCCTGCTCCCATCACCTCAATATATTCAAGCTCTGCTCCCGTCACTTGAATATATTCCACATTTTTACTCAGATATATCTAAGGCCTTCTCCCACCCCTTAGATATACATCAAACGACACACACACACACTCCACTGTATTTATGATGCATATATAATGCAGTGCAAACATCATTTATCTCTGTGGAATAATAATATATATAATAACAATAATATTTCAGGCTTAATCACATGAATAATAATATAAGTAATGCTATTTAGACACACGACATTGACCACCTTATGTGGCAATTGATGTGTCATAACATGTCAATTAATGAATGTTGCCATGAGGCCACTTACTAGGAACGCTAGGGTTTTTTTTTAATTTGTTTCTTAATTGACATGGCGACATTCATTAATTGACTTGGCATGACCCATCAATTGCCACATAAGGTGGTCAGCTAAAGTAGTCAATGTTGTGTGTCCAAATAATATCCACGGAAAAACATCAATAATAATATTCAAATAACATTAAATAATATTCACCGAGCAAAGCAACAATAAGATGCATATTTATAGTACTACATATAAGCACCAAGATTAAAAGTGACATAGTCCAAACATCAGGAAATTAGGAAACCCTACCTTGTGTCCAAAAAGCTAAAATGAC